GACTTGTGAGGTGGGGGGTTAGAAGGGGGATCTTGAGCGTTTGGGCAGGGGGGGGGTTGTAGGCGGGTTCTCGTGGGGGGGTTAGGGGATGACTTGATGGGTGGGGAGTGGGGGTTAGAGCCTTGTGGGCTAGAGGGGGGTTAGAGAGGACCCTCGTGTGGGGGAGTTAGGGGACGACTTGTTAGGTGGGTGGATTAGGGGGAGCCTCGTTGGGGGTTAAGGGGCTGCCTTGTGGGGTGGAGGGGTTAGAGGGAGCCCTTGTGGGGGTTAGGTGACGACTTGTTAGGTGGAGGGTTAGAAGTGCTTTGTAGAGGGGTGGGGGTTAAGGGCATGTGGGGGTTAAGGGCATGTAGATAAAACTATTTCTTTCTTCATGAGTGTGTGGCTGAGAGCTAGATCGTTTGTAGCTGTTAGTTACGCTTGCCAAGTGGCTAGAGAGGCTAGTGAGACTAGGGAGGCTAGAGAGGCTAGGGAGGCTGGGGAAGATAGGGAGGCTAGGGGGGATGGGGAGGATAGGGGGGATAGGGAGGCTAGAGAGGCTAGGGGAAGATAGGGAGGCTAGGGGGGATAGGGAGGCTAGAGAGGCTAGAGGGGCTAGAGATAGGGAGACTAGGGAAGCTAGGGAGGCTAGAGAGGCTAGGGAGGCTAGAGAAGCTAGGGAGGATAGGGAGGCTAGAGAGGCTAGAGGGGCTAGAGAGGGGCTAAGGAGGCTAGAGAGGTTAGAGAGGCTCGAGAGACTAGTGAGGCTAGAGAGGCTAGGGAGGCTATAGAGGATAGGGAGACTAGGGAAGCTAGGGAGGCTAGGGTGGCTAGAGAGGCTAGGGAGGCAATAGAGGATAGGGAGGCTATAGAGGATAGGGAGACTAGGGAGGCTAGAGAGGCTAGAGGGGATAGGGAGGCTAGTGTGGCTAGAGAGGGGCTAAGGAGGCTAGAGAGGTTAGAGAGGCTCGAGAGACTAGGGAGACTAGGGAAGCTAGGGAGGCTATAGAGGATAGGGAGACTAGGGAAGCTAGGGAGGCTAGAGAGGCTAGGGAGGGAGGCTCGGGGCTTAAAGTTACACACACAAACAAAAGTTGACCAATGCAACTTTGGTTGAGAAGTGCAAGGAAGTCTAAAGCTAGCAAGAAATCAACTTATAACGCACGGTAATAAGAAATTTAAACGCAAAGAGGACGCCAAGTAGGTATTAATAGGTAGTAGTTAGTACTTACTACCTACCAAGTAGGTGGTAGGTAGTAATTCACCATATCGATATTGAAAACGTTTCGAAGTCCAGCTTGGACGATGGAGGTCTCACTATGGAATTAGAAACCAACAATAGCTTGCCGTTTTTTGATTGTAAAGTAACTAAATCTGTCGCACTGTCGGTAGTTTTCAGACATCCGTGTATCGAGAACCCATATTTACCGACTTGGGTATGAACTTTTTTAGGTTCTACTCGTTTCGTTTCAAATTTAATAGTTTTTAAACTTTGATACAGCGCGGCTATAGGATTGGTTCCGTCTTCTATGATATGCATTTTGAATTTTAATTTATACTTTATGTATGTCTTCTGCATGGGTTTCCATCGTGCCTTGTGTTAAGTAAAATCAAACGTTTTTTATATAACAAATTTTCTGAAACTATGGTTGGAGGCGATAGTAAGAAAACTATTTATTGTACTTTGCCGGGTTTTGGTAGCGCGTCTGAAGCTATGTCCTAAGAAGTTAGGACTTTGTCTATGAAATATTATCCGAATGTTAATTTGCATGTTTTGCTGGTGAATGATTTCAAAATTGTTTCTTTCTTTAAGTATAAGGACGTTATTCCTGCCCGGATGCGATCAAACCTGGTCTATGAGTATAGTTGTGCGCGCTGCGCATCAGCGTACGTTGGAATGACGTCACGAAACTTCTACATCCGGGTTTCTGAACCCCGCGACAGGAGCTATCGTTCTAACTTGCCTCTCGCCAAGCCTCCTCATTCTTCCGTGCGCCTCCATGCTGAACAGTGCGACGTGGCTGTATCTGAGAGTTATTTCAGGATACGCGGTTCCACTTCTGGCTGCTCGGATTTGAGGATTTCGGAGTCTCTACATATCTTCAAACGAAGACCGTGTCTCAATAATGCGGTCAGTTCCTATCTTCTTGAAATAGTGAATATTCTTTAGCTATTATATTCTAGTGTCAACTTTTTAATGCTCCGCGAGTGTTTGTTTTCGATTTCAGGGTTGATTTGTCTATTATATGTCAAATTTAGGTTTTAATCTCTGACTTTGGAATTTGAATTATAATGAAGATTCCTTCTAGATTATCAAACTGACTATGGAGCTGGACTCCAAAACGTTTTCAATATCGATATGGTGAATTTACTTGACGTTCTTTTTGCTTTTAGTTTCCTTATACTGTATATAAACTTATTTCGTACGGTTTACCGCGAACAATGTGCCAATATACTACAATATTGATTATCCATGAATTTTTTTATATTATTTAAATGAGGTGACCCAGATATGTGCGTGACCCACCTTCCAGGGTGACCCACCTTCCAGGGTGACCCAGATATATACTTGACCCACTTTCCAGGGTGACCCAGATATGTGCGTGACCCAC